GCCGTCTCGAAGAGCAGCTGGCGGTCAAGGCCCGGGACCGGCTGCTGGTGCTGCACCTCGAGCATGTCGAGCACGGCGCTCCACCACTTGTTGAGGACGGAGGCCCTGCAGTCGACATCCTCGGGGCGCAGGCAGCCCAGCGGCTGCTGGCTGGTGGCGCTCTTCAAAAAGGGCAGAAGCAGCGTCTTGACCAGAGCGCACTGCTGGGCGACGGGCTTGGCTGCGAAGCCGCGGATCTCCAGGTCGAGGTTCTTGAAGTGCGACCACAGCGGATCGGGCATGCGCGCGGGCATTTCGCCGGCCGACTCATCAGCGGTCAGGGCCGTGGAGTTTGTCTCGGCGGAGGAGGCCGACTGCGAGACATGCGTGTCGATGCTGCTGGAGCCCGGCTGGGCCAGGCTGGTGGCAGACGAGGCGCAGCTAAAGTCGGAGTCGATGCTGTCGGCTGTTGCTTTGGACAGCGCGGTCGCGGGCTTCTGCTTGATTCTGGAGAAGTAGCTGGTGGCACGAGCGAATCCCTTGCTCGCCGGCTTAGCACCCGCGTCGACTAAGCGGCCTTGGCTCGTCTGATTGGTCGTAATCTCCGTGATGCTGGCTGTCGCAGCCCGTTTCAGCTTGTCAAGGCTCGATTTCACTTCTGGCTTCGCGTTTGCAGCCGCCGGCGCCTGTGATTGGGTTTTGGCATGCGCGCGCGACAGCGGCATCCACGACCTCTTGAAGCTGGCGAAGCTGGCGGCTGTCGAGCCCGAAATCGATGTCGACTGCGAGCGGTCCCGGGCAGCTCGGCCATCTGCGTCCTCGACGGCGACTGGGAACTCGTTGGCTGTGGCGGGCCGCCTCTGCTCGCTGGACGGCGGAACAGCAGCAGTAGCAGCAGCAGCCGCCGGGAATTTGAAGCCGTCCTCGAACGGTGCATCTCGAATCGTCTCTAAGCTGCGCAGCCACGGACGAGGCTCGTCGTTGTTAGAAGGTGCAGACCTTGTGCGCGGCTGCTGCAGGGCTGTCGGTGAAGAAGGGGGTTCTGGGTCGTCATTCTTGGAGTCGGGGGAAGGGGGTGGCTGGCTCTCGAGGGTAAGAGGAGGGAGAGAGATGTCGAGCTTGAGATCGAGGTCGGTGCTGAAGGAGGGGATTTCAAAGGTCGCGAAGTCGGCCAGGCTCTTGGTGGGCGAGTCCGGCTGCTCGGACAGGACGGGCTGGCCCAGCGAGGGCGACTTGGTTCGCGATGGGAGAGACGGGAGGTCGGGGG